GAAGATGACGAAGTACCTGAGTGCGCAGACTCACCAGTACATGAGGACGCAGACGCACTAGCACCTAGAGCAGCAGCGTCGCAAGCACCTAGGGCAGCAGCTGCACCAGTACCTAGAGCAGCAGTCTCAATGCCCGGATCGGGCGGGAAACACCGGTAACAGTCACCCTCATCACTAATAGCCACAGCATACATGGCAGAGAGAATAGCATCAAAGTCAAGATCATATATGGCAACCCCCGCCCTAGACAGCTCGCCCCAGCGTGGGATCTCTGTGGCCTCCGGGAACTGGTGACGCCACGCGTCCGTCAAGCGGCCAAAGCAGCGCTGGGTAGGGTGCGCACCCCCACACTGCTCACCCGCACGGTCGCCGGTGCGCAGGACGTAGGTGCACGGACCAAAACCCCCACCCCGCTGGCGTGCAGTGTACCACTCACGGAGCTGCTGAGGGGACAGGGTCTCACGACCGCGGAGCTGCTGCTGGCGCGAGCCACCACCGGAGCCACTCCTCTGCGAAGACCCGTGACCAGCTCCACCGCCACCCCCACCGCCTCCGCCGCCTCCGCTACTGCCGCCGCCTCCGCCGCCTCCTCCACCGCCGCCACCTCCGCCACCTCTGCTCCCACCGCCACCGCCGCCGCCGCCGCCTCCGCCTCCACTGCCGCCACCCACACCTCCACTTCCACCTCCACTCCCACCGCCACCCCCATTCCCCCCACCGCCTCCACCTCCACCCCCACCGCCCCCGCTCGCTCCTCCAGCGCCCCTGCCCCCCTTGCCCTTGCCAGGGCGGAGTCTCCCGCTAGGTCGGCCGCAGCAGCAGAGGCAACAGCGGGAAGCAGGGGGGAGGGGGAACACCCCTCAAAGATGGGGGTGCGCGGGTCACCTCGAGAAGCTCCTACAGCGACTATGCTCTTTTCTATCGCGAGGAGGGCCTTCTCGAGGAGGTTAACAGTGAGAGTGGTGGGACAGACTGAGAGGAAGTGGTCCCTAACTACACGAAGGGAGTCAGGGAGGCGAGTAACTATGTAGTAGAGAGTGATGTACATGGGGGGGGGGGTTCTTGGCGCAGAAGTCAGCAGGAAGTGCAGCGCGGTAGCAAGTGTCACTAGTGCGGAGGTGCGTAATGAGGTCAGCTACTGTGGGAAAGGCAGCAAGGTCAGGGAAGAGGTACGGTAGCATGAGACGGCTCAGTGCAGCAGTGGCAGGGGAGGAGTAGCACGCGACTACAGCGTCGTACAAGGTCTGAGCACTCTTGTACTGACTAAAGTGCGCACGCTCAGAGGTAGGGAGGTGGTGACGCACCGCAAGAAGTGCAGCAGCATCACGAGTGGCCCACTGGGAACGAACAGTGGCGTCAGCATCAGCAGCAGGGGCAGGAGAAGCGCCAAAGGTGAGGTCAAAGAGAGAGAGGCCGTCTGCCCTATCGCACTGTAAGAACAGCTGCAGGTCATCTACCCAGACCTCAAAGTCAATGGCCCGACCCTCAGCGTCAAAAGTGAGGACACTAGGGGTAGCCATGACCACAGACGACCAGCAGTGCAAACAGTAGGGTGAGGGCAGTGCAGTGAAAGAGGCGCTGTGCTCACCAGACTGGGCAGCTCGGGCGGCCTGGAAGTAGGGCGGCTCGGCGGCTCGGCTGGTCGGCGGCTCGGCTGTTGGGCGGCTCGGCGGCTCGGCGGCTCTGCTGCTCGGCGGCTTGGCTGCTGGGCGGCTCGGCTGCTGGGCGGCTCGGCTGCTGAGCGGCTCGGCTGCTGGGCGGCTCGGCTGCTGGGCGGCTCGGCTGCTGGGCGGCTCGGCTGCTGGGCGGCTCGGCTGCTGGGCGGCTCGGCTGCTCTGCCGGTGGGCGGCTCGGTTGGGCTGCTGCAGGGCGGCGCGGCGGTCGGCTGCTCGGCTGGGTGAGGCGGCTCGGGCGGCTCGGGTGGCGGGCGGCGCTGCAGCAGGTGACGGGGCCGAAGGTAGGGTGGCGGGGCCGTGAGTAAGGCGGCGGGGCCGCAGGTAGGGTGGCCAGGCTGCAGGTAAGGTGGCGGGGCCAAAGGTAAAGTGGCGGGGCCGCCGATACGGTGGGGAAGCCGCGGGTAAGGCGGCGGAGCCACGTGTAGGGGCTAGGGCCGCAGGTAAGGCGGCAGAGCCGCGGGTAGGGTGGCGGGGCCGCACGCGACGCCGCGAAGGGCGGCGACGGGCCGGTACGGGCGGTGACGGGCCGGGACAGGCGGCGCACGGGCGGGGACGAGCCGGGACGGGCGGCGACGGGCCGGGACGGTCAGCGCACGGGCGGCGACGGGCCGGGACAGCGGCGCAGGGCCGGGACGGGCGGCGCACGAGCGGCGTCGGGCCGGTACGGGCGGTGCAAGGGCGGCGACGGGCCGCGTAGGGTGGTCATGGGCCGCTTGTCAGAATTATATTTATTATAACTGCATGTAGTTCTAGCTGTAGTGTAGTTATTAAATTTGTAGGTGGTGCACCTCTTCATGTGTTCCTTTGCTATATGTACTTCGAATCCTATAGTGAAAACACATTCTCCCAACTTCTCTCACAACTCACTCGACATCGCTCCTAAGCCAAAACCCGCTCGATACCTAAGTTCGGGCCTAGGCTACTAAGCCTAGGCCCCCACCTTTCTACTCTCAATTACTTAGATTCTCGACATGTTATCGGAGCTGAGTTCGTCCTGGCCTCTGGGCCCGCTTTTACTTCCGCTGCTAAAATTTTACGGTCGCGCGCCTAGGGCGCGTGACGATTTTATTCTTTACCTTGTCCCGCCCACGGGCGTGTGACTCCTACCCTGCCCGTCGCGCGCCCCGTGGCACGCGACGGTGCCCTTTATCTGCCCATCGTGCGCCCCGAGGCACACGATGGTGCCCTGCTCGTCGTGCGCCCCGAGGCACAAGATCGGGCCCTTTTATCCTACCCGTCGTGCGCCCCGTGGCACTGGCCCGCGACGGGCCTTTCCGCCCCTGCACTCCCTGCTGCCGCCCCTGACCCATCTGCACCGACGCCTCTTCGCCGCTCTGCGGCTTTCTTCCTTCCCACCCCCCCCTTTCTCTTGTCTCCCTGCAGCCGTGGGGAGGAGGGTATGGGGGTGGAGGGTGTTGGAGCGTGGGGTCAACTCTCTCCCTTCCCCTCCTCCTTCTTTCAGTCCCACCGCTGCAGCTGCCGCTGGGGGGGGAGGGTGTGAGGATGTGGGTGAGCAGGGGGAGTGGTACCGGGGTGGCGGGTGTGAGGCAACAAGCAGCCGTCCCTCCACCTCTCCTCTCTTCCCCCCTTCTCTGCTGCTTCTGCAGCAGTGTGGGGGAGGGGAAGGAGGAGGGTGAGGAGATGGAGGGGGTAACCTTTCAAAGTTAGCCCGCCTGCAGTACCTGCTGTTGCTTGTTTTATTGCTCGTTGGTGTACCTCTGCAGGTTGTGCTCTGCACTTAGCTATTCCTGCATGCAGTTACGGGGGGATGTCAGAATTATATTTATTATAACTGCATGTAGTTCTAGCTGTAGTGTAGTTATTAAATTTGTAGGTGGTGCACCTCTTCATGTGTTCCTTTGCTATATGTACTTCGAATCCTATAGTGAAAACACATTCTCCCAACTTCTCTCACAACTCACTCGACATCGCTCCTAAGCAAAACCCGCTCGATACCTAAGTTCGGGCCTAGGCTACTAAGCCTAGGCCCCCACCTTTCTACTCTCAATTACTTAGATTCTCGACACCGCTAAGGGCGGCGACGGCCGAGTAAGGGAGGCGGAAGGGAGGCCGCTAGGGGCGACGCGACGGGGCTGAAGGGGGGCCTAAGCAAGGCGCGCTCCGGGCAGGAAAAAAAAAATTCGATAGTGGTGGGCCCTAAGAACAGTTCCCACGAGGGAACCTGCTCGATACCATGAGAAGAAACGAGAATGAATGAACTATGAAAGAAGTGAGTACAAGTACTAACCCTAATTGGGTTGTACCCCCTATGGGATACCCCACTACAGCCTACACAAATGTATAAGCTATATAACGTTCTGACAGTGTGTTGCGCAGATGTGAACTTAATATTTCAAGAATTCCGGGACTTTCTTGGATTTGACATTCAATCTTGCAGCTACTTCGGTGCCCCTTTGTTGGGATTGAATTACCTTTCTGCGTCAGGATGTTCAATGCCTTCTGAGCCGCGCCCTTGACACTCAAATGCTTCGACTAGCGTTCACAACGCCGCACTCACACTGCGATTCCTTCCGCACTCTCACGGCAGGAGGACGCGATGCTGCTGCGCCACGCGCTGCAATGCGGCACAAAGCAGTGGGGGGATTTGGGAAGGAGCAGTCAGCTCAAGAGGAGCAACAAGTTGTGATGTAACCGTTACATCTTCCTTCGAAGGTAACGCCGCATGACACATTCACGATTTCTTCAACCCCGGCGTTGTCTTGAAACGCTAGACATTTCTTGCACACCTCAGCTTCTTAACACCTCTGCTCTGCTCTCGTGTGACCGTGCGTTGATGGCAGGAAGTTCACTAACCACTTTCGCAACAACTTTCTAAGAAAGCATCTAGAAGATGATGCGATCCTCCACCACGCTTCCGACGGATACAGTCAGCCGATTCTTTCTCAGGGTTTCAAGCAGCAGTGGCAGCGTGCGGATAGTGTAGGTTCACCTGGCCTCGCGTTTGGAGGATTGTCGTTTGACGAGTGCACGGCCGTCTTTTTCGCCCCCAATGCGCACTGCCACTACCCAGCTTTTCCAGCTGGCCCAGCTGTCCCACCCAACCTCTCACCGTTCGCCAGCCCACCTCCGGCTTCCCAAGCTCCTCATTTTGCTTCTCAAGTCGCCACCTTTTCTGCTACTGCCATTGCTGCTTCCACCTCACATCTTCCATTCGCCCGTGATGCTCATCTCGTTGTTGCCGCTGCCTCCAACGCCACTTCTCCGTGTCGCCTGATGAAGTGACCACGGGACGACTGCGCCGGGCTGGGGGCAGACCAGCCGCTGCTGGGTGGACGTGAGAGCCCGTTGATGCGAGGCGGGGTGATGAGAGGCGAGATGGAGCGAGGCGGGATGGATCGAGGCGGGATGGAGCGAGGTGGGATGGAGCGAGGCGAGATGGAGCGAGGCGGGATGGCGTGCACGGGGGTGGTGTGTAGCACGCACAGCCGGCGTCAGTCAGTGGCAGAGCAGTTTCAGCAGCAGGGGGAGAGCAGCCATGCACATGCAGCGGACGAAGCCCGTTTGGAGGCTCTGCTGCAGGAGGGGCTTCCGCACCAGCAGCAGCAGCAGGGAGGAGCAAGGAGCAAGGTGCAGCGAGTATTGTGGCCACGCGTTGGGTCGGAGAGTGCCCTTCCAGACGACGTGCTGCTGGGATTCAGCAGCGAGGATGCTGCCCTCACGAAACGTGCTGCTCTGTCTGCTCCTCCACCCATCCACCCACGTGCAGTGCTGCCAGCGCCAATGCCGTCCAAACTCGCTGCTCCGCCTAGCTCTGCTCTCTGCTTTCAAAATCCCATCGCTTGCTGCGGGGATTTTGCTCCCTGCTTTGGGGATTTCTCGTTGCAGCCAGTGGACTGGCCGCGCATTGGGTCGGAGAGTGCCCTTCCAGACGACGTGCTGCTGGGACTCTGCTGCGAGGGCCCTGCCTTCTCGCAGTGCTCTGCTCCCTCGACTCCTCCGCCCACCCCGCTGCCAGCGCCAGTACCCTCTGTGCTTGCTGCTTTACGTGGCTGCGCTCTCGGGAGCAATTGTGCAACTCGTGAGCTGGAATGCCTGGACGCATGCATTGACATGCTTGCCAACGGAAACAACAGCAACGGCAACAGCAACGACAATGACAACGGCAACGGCAATGACAGCAACAGTGACGAGGCTCTCTTTCTCGACACGCCAGTGGCTCACATGCTGCTGGGTGGAAGTACCCTCACCGTGCACTGCGGGAGTGGGCCTCAGCAACAGGCGTTGGCAGCCCCTAGTGTTGCTGAGGCAGACCTGCCTGAGTGGGCGATGGAGCAGGGAGGAGACTGGGAGGGAGGTGATCAGCGGCACCAACACCGGCAGCTGAAGGGTTGTGAGCGTAAAGAATTTGAGCACGTTCTCTCGCACCAACAATTGCTGCAGCCGCTCTCCCAAACTCCTACACTGTCAGCCCCTACTCAACTAGTCCTCTGTGGTGTGCCCTGTTAGAGACTGAGGACGGAGTCTATGAAGATTAGTAGCCAAAATATCTCAACATCGTTGGGCCTAGTTTCTGAACAGAGAAGTCGAGTTCACAAGAAACGCCGTCGACGAAAAGTTCACAGTCAAAACTTCATCAAACTCGAATATGTTGTAGCTCTACTCCGTGGCTACAATTCCCAAGTTGAATCATGCGAAAAAGGTGAAGTATTTCTTGAGCTATCAATTTCGGCGGACTAGGGGGTATGCTGCCATAGAATCTTAACTCAATCACAAAGTTCACACAAGTTCACACAAGTTCACACAAGAGAATTGGAGTAGCACTAAACCAGGTGGAAGGGATGAGGAGGACGAGAGGGAAGGTCCCAAGAGAGTCCCCAACCAAGGAAACCCCATGCCATACAATTCCCTTCCCCATAGGCAACCCAACTTTGACCTTTGTCACTATCCCAACCTCCACAATCCACCTCAACCCAACTTGGCCACACTTGCCAGCCTGGTTTGGTTTCTCCCAACCATTTGGCAGCAACTACAGTAGAAAAGACGAATTTCCCAACCCTCAAAAGTCTGTACCCCATATTGAGTCAACCCCACAACTTCCCATAGTCACCACAACCAAATATCAAAAGCATACGAACTCCAACGTTCGTAACTTTCTTGTTCGTGCTCCGATTGAAGCGATACTTGGTTCCTCGGAAAGCTCTTGAGCAGAGGAGTCACTTCAGATATCTGCTCAAGCCAAATAACATTCACACACACACACTCAGAAAAACCAAACCGCACAAAACACAAATTCTTGCACACACTCACAACACGCATGCAACGCACGAACATATGATGGGAGGCAGACAGACGTGAATGCGAATGGTAGCATCACTCAACATGCCCTGTGCATTGAACACGCCCCCGAATTCTAGGAGCTTGCACATGCAAGCTCCCATACAGCCACGCCCAGCCATGCTGCAGCAGCCCTTCCCCACTGGTGGTGCTTTACCGGCTCTCTGCCAACCCCATGCTGCTTCCTTGCCCCGAAGTGGCCTTTACTCCGAGACTTGATGGTGGTGCCCCGTGTGCCACTGATGGTCATAGGCTCAGCCGCTCAGCGTGGATGGGCGTGATTGACTAATCTGTTCAAGGATTTTTTTAGCTTGATACCAACGGGGTCCAGGTTATGATTGACCATACAGATGCAGTTCATCAACCCTTGGTCCTCCACATAGAGGCCGTTTTTCCTTGGGATGCCTTCAAGCTCCATTGTCAGAACATCATAGCTTATGCATTTTGTGTAGGCTATAGTGGGGTAGCACATAAGGGGTACGACCCAATTAGGGTTAGTATTTGTACCCAACTCTTTCATGGTTGATTCATTCTCGTTCATTTACACATGGTTTCAGAGCACATATGCTCATGGCCTGTGGGCCCTACTACTGCTTCCGTTGCTACTCGATCTGTCGCACACCCCGTGGCGTGCGACCTAATTTTCATCTCTCTGGCGCGCGCCCCGAGGCGCGCGGCCCCGTTCCTTCCAAGCGCGCCACTCCCCGCTACCCCGTCGCGGCGCCCTAAGGAGCCGCGCGCGACCCCTCGCGGCCCCATCTCATCGCGACGCCCTAGCGACCGCGTCGCGCCGCCCTCGCGGCCCCGATCCGCCGCCCTAGCGGCCCCGTCACCTACCCCTGCGGCCCCGGCGCCGCCCATCCCGGCCCCGGCTCCGCCCTTCCCGACCCCGGCGCCACCTTGGCTGGCCCCGTCGCCTACCCCGGCGACCCTGACGCCGCCCTTCCCGACCCGGCCCTGCCTCTGCTGGCCCCGTCGCCTGCCCCTGCGGCCCCGGCTCTGCCCTTCCCGGCCCCGGCGCCAACTCGGCTGGCCCCGTCGCCTACCCCGACGCCGCCCTTCCCGACTTGGCCCCGCCTCTGCTGGCCCCGTCGCCTACCCGTGCGGCCCCGGCGCTGCCCTCCCGGCCCCGGCGCCACCTCTGCTGGCCCCGATGCCGCCCTTCCCGGCCCCAGCGCCGCCTCTGCTGGCCCCGTCGCCTACCTCTGCGGCCCCGGTGCCGCCCTTCCCGGCCCCGGCGCCGCCTCTGCTGGCCCCGTCGCCTACCTCTGCGGCCCCGGCGCCGCCCTTCCCGGCCCCGGCGCCGCCTCTGCTGGCCCCGTCGCCGCTCCACCCGGCCCCGCCGCCGTCCCCAAGCGGCCCCGCCGTCACCACCGGGCCGCCGGCGCAGCCGAGCTGCTGCCGAGCCGCCCGGGCCACCTGAGCCGCCCGAGCTGCAGCGCCACCTGAGCCGCCCGAGCCGCCGGGTCGCCGAGCCGCTGAGCTGCAGTTGCTGCCGAGCCATCGTACCGCCGAGCCGCCCGAGCCGCCGAGTCGCCGAGCCGCAGTTGCCGCCGAGCCGCCCGAGTCGCCCGAGCCGCAATTGCTGCCGAGCCGCCGAGCCGCCGAGCCGCCCGAGCCGCCTGCACCGCCGAGTCGCCAAGTCGCCGAGCCTGCTCTTCCCGCCACTGGTGAGCCCCTGCCTTGCTAGCACGATGCCCGCCGCCTGCTTGCCTGCCTGCCTGCCTTTCGGCTTGCCTGGCTGCCTGCCTTACTGCTGCTAGTCCTGCTCTTGCTTCTTCTGGCGGAGCCAGATGCAGCCCCAGTGACGTCCGCGTGAGTCCCTCACGCCCCAGCAGCTGCGTGAGTGGTATGTTGGTTGGGGTTGTAGGGGTGGCGGCGCTGCTACTACTACCACTACTGCTGCTACTACTACTGGTGGCGGCCGGATGCAGCTCCAGCGACGCCCATGCGCATCTCTCACGCCCCAGCAGCTTCGTGAGTGGTACGCTCAGAGTAGAGGGTCTCTCAGTTCTGTTCGCTGCTCTTACGTGATTCGCACTGGTGCTCGGACTGGTCAGCCTTATGGGACACCTAGTCACACACAGTCCCGCTGCTTCGCCCGTCTGAGTGACGCCTGGCGTACCGAGTTTGGCGACGAGGCTGAGCTCCCCGACTGGGTGGAGTTGCTTAGGTAGAGGGTAGATATATTTGCTCTTGACTATGATGCTATTCTCACTACCATGTATGCATTGCCTACTAGTGCTGACCGTGCCGATCACCTGTGCGTACCGCCTGACCCGAGTATAGAGCCTGCTGCTCTAGCTGCTGGTGAGGCTGCTGCTCTGGGTGCTAGTGAGTCTCCTGCTCCAGGTACAGGTGCGGTTGCTGCTCTAGGTGCTAGTGAGTCTGCTTCCTCAGGTGCAAGTGAGTCTGCTCTCTCAGGTACCGCGTCGGCTCCGGCCTCTCACACCTTCACTCTTGACTCGGGGGCTTCCTGCTCCTTCTTTCGAGACCGCACCACACTCACGACGCTTGGTCGGCCAGTTGCAGTCTCTCTGGTAGACCCCTCTGGGGGTCCTGTCCTTGCTCACTTCTCCACTGTCCTCCCGTGTCCTGCGGCCCCCTCTAGCACCCTGTCTGGTCTTTACCTCCCCTCGTTCTCTACGAACTTGGTGAGTGGTGCTGACCTACAGGATGCGGGGGTTCACCAGTTCACTCCTGCGAGTCAGCGGGTGACCCGCTGCTCGTACAGGCCGACACCTCGCCACGTTTATACGTCGGCCGGGGTCAAGCATGTACACACTGACCACTGTGTCTCCTCGAGTCACTACGTCTGGTCAGGTAGCTGCGTCGGGTCAGGTGTTTGCTGCAGCGTCCAGGTCCGGTCCTGAGTCTGCCCCCTGCTCGTGTCATCTCCTGTCTCACGAGACTCTCCTCTGGCACCACCGCCTTGGTCACCCCTCCCTGCTTCGTCTCCAAAGCATGGCCTCCCGTGTCCTTGTCTCTGGTCTTCCCCGGTCCCTCCCTCCCCTTCCTCCGGGGCCTGGCCCTACCTGCGTCCCCTGTGTCGAGGGGCGGCAGCGGGCTGCTCCTCACTCCTCTCAGTTTCCTCCGACAGAGGCCCCGCTGCAGACGCTTCACATGGACGTGTGGGGCCCAGCCCGCCTCCGTGGATAGGGTCACGAGCGCTACTTCCTGCTGGTGGTTGACGACTACTCGCGTTACACCACAGTCTTCCCCTTGAGCAGCAAGGGTGATGTCACTGAGGTGTTGATCGACTGGATCCGCGCAGCTCATCTCCAGTTCAGGCGGAGCTTCGGCTCGGACCTGTTCTGTGTCTGCACTCTGACAGAGGCGGAAAGTTCTCCGCAGGCCTTCTGCGAGCCTACGGTCGTGCACGAGGCATCCGCCAGACCTTCACGCTTCCGGACTCTCCACAGCAAAATGGGATTGCTGAGCGCCGCATTGGCATGGTCAAGGACGCCGCCCGTACGTCCATGATGCATGCGGCTGCCCCCCATTTTCTGTGGCCGTTTGCGGTCCGGTACGCGGCGCATCAGATCAACCTTCAGCCCAGGGTCTCCATGCCGGAGACCTCCCCAGCTTTGCTGTGGACGGGGAAGGTTGGCGATGCGTCTGCGTTCCGTGTCTGGGGATCTCAGGCGTTTGTCTGCGACTTGTCTGCGGACAAGCTGTCCCTTCGTGCTGCTCCCTGCGTCTTCCTGGGCTTTCCCCGTGACGCGCCAGGGTGGCAGTTCTACCACCCCACCTCTCGCCGTGTTCTGTCCTCCCAGGACGTCATGTTCAATGAGTCGGTCCCCTACTACCGTCTCTTCCCCTACCGCACTCCGTCCCTCCCCCCGCCACCGCTCTTCCTTGTGCCAGGTCCCCCCCTAGTAGACCCCCTCCCCCCTCAGAGCCCTGCCCCTTCAGGTGTGTCCCAGGTAGACATTGTTGAGTTTGTCGAAGTCGCTGGTAACTCTGGTGCTGCTGAGGGTGCTGAGCCTGGGGGTGCTGACTCTGGGGGTGCTGAGCGTGTGGGTGCTACGCCTGGGGGTGCTGAGCCTGGGGGTGCTGAGCCTGGGGGTGCTGAACCTGGGGGTGCTGAGCCTGGGGGTGCTGAGCCTGGGGTTGCTGAGCCTGGGAGTGCTGAGCCTAGGGGTGCTGAGCCTAGGGGTGCTACGCCTGGGGGTGCTACGCCTGGAGGTCCTGAGCCTCGAGGTGCTGAGCCTGAGGGAGTTGGGCTTGCTCGTGTGGCGTCTGGCGGTGCTGTGCCTGGCGGTTCTTCGGGTGCTTCCTTTCGCCGAGAGCCACTCTCTCCACACGAGCTGCGTGAGTGGTTTGCCCGACGCTGGAGGCGAGCTGCTGGAGCTCGAGGTGCCGCGGGTACTGGAGGATCTGCTGCTGCTGAGGGTGCTGGTGTCGCGGGTCCCGGAGGTGCTCGTACTGGGAGTACTGGAGCTGCTGGGCTTGAGGGTACTTCTGGAGCTGGAGCTGCTGCGGGTGTTGGTGCGGAGTCTACTACTGTCGGTCCTGGAGGAGGTCCTGCTGGGGGTGCTACTGGTGCTGCTAGAGGTACTGGAGTTGGAGGTGCTGCTGGCGCTAGTGCTGCCGCTGGGGGTACTGGTGCTGTCCCTGCTATGTCTGGAGTTGCCGCACGGCCTCGGCTGTACTTCGTTCCGCTCCTTCAGTAGGTTCTTGGTCTCCTGCCTTCTACTGGTCCTCCTCCTCCCTTGAAGTGTCCACAGCCTGTCCCGTCGCAGTTACAGTTACAGCCGGCCTCCCTTCTTCCTGCTCCGTCTCCCTACACCGGTCCTACTGGAGGTCTTGCTGAGCGTCGTGAGCCTGCGTCTCGCCCTGCGTCCCCTGTCCGTGCTGCTCGCACTAGTGGTCGTGGTTCCCGTCAACGTCCTCATTCTGTCCCTGGCACATACCGGATGTCTCTGCGTCCGTCCACTGCTCCTCTGCGTGCCCCTTTACCTTTTCCTCCTGGGTCTTCTCTTCCTGCTCTTGCCGACCCGGAGTCGGACTCTCTTCGTGCTGCTAGCCCTACTGTCACGCGTCTCCTTGCTACTGTTGTCACTGACCCTTCCTTTGAGTCCACTGCTGCGTTTGCCCTAGTCGCTGAGCTCGTCGACTTTGCTGCTCGCTGTCGCCTAGACTACGCCGCAAGTCTTGTTGCTGAGTCTGAGTGTGTCTGTCCTCCGTCCATTGGGGGTGAGTGTGCCCTTGGCACGGACGTCCTTGAGGACAGGCATGAGGAGTTCCAGTGCTTGGCCGCTGCTTCACCTCATCTCGTGTCCGTAC